TATATATATATATATATACTAGTATATAAATGTATATATACATATATACAAGTATACGTTGACTGAATTCTATGCGGTTTAATAGAGTTAGACATTTAGTCATATCTAGTCAACGATATAACACACATATACACACAAAATAATATTATGTATAATATTGTACAAAAAATAAATTTAATTTACATTTATTTAAACAAACTCTAAGTGGATCTTATTAATATTTAACAATAAAACAATTTTGACCCCCAAAAATAACCCTGGATTGTAAAAGATTGTTCTTGGTGGCAGCAGTAACAAAATCAAAAATAAAATTTTAGTGCTGTTTGTGTAGTGTAAATATAATTATTAAATGTGTTGATGAACTGTGTAGTTTTCTAGGTTGTGCAAGGATTAGTTACATAAAACAAAAGTGATTTGACGATTAATAAAAAAAATTACTTATTAAATTAATTGGGTATAGAACAAACCAACTTCAAATTGCAGTAACCCAGAGATAAATTTTGTGGCAATATATTTAGCAGTTCGGTGTAAAATTTCAAACAGATTAGCAAATTTTAAATCCCATCTAAAGTTTGATTTAATTAATTTTTACGAAGTTTTAAGGGTGACAAATTTATGATAATCCAACGAAAAACACTCTTAATTATCATTATGCTAAAATGTGATTGTTGATAAGAATTCATCCACGTCTGTTCAACTTTTTTCATATAGGATATTCATATATCTTTTATACTTTATTTTTTTACTTAGTTTGAAATTATCAATTTTATACGAAATATTCTTTTATTTGTAAAAAAATTCAGAGAGTGGTAAAAAAGGCCTAAATCAAATATTTAATTATGTGCTCAAGGACAAGACATAAATTACGTTTATAAAAATTTAATATTTGATCACGATCCTTTATAAAACATATTGCACAAAACAATTTCCCGAATTTGTGTAATAAATATTTTTATTCGCATTGGATTTAAGATCTTCAGAAAACTCGGTCGACTCGCGACGGGTCGACCAATTGGTTCCTTTCGAAAATTTATTAAGAAATCCAAGTTTAAATTTTATGACAAACATCGAAGTCCCTGATAAACAATGCACCAATCCCTCCACAAATGCGTTAAATGATTATGGATATGAAAATAATTATAAAAGTGAACAGTTCAGTCCCAACGACATCAACAAAAGCCCAGAAAATTTGTCTATGAGCAATCATGTTAGGAATAAGTCTGATAAAAAATTAGAAGTTTGTAACAAAAGTGACAGTTTCATGTTTGAGAATTATTCTTGTTTGCAAAAAGACTCGGTGGCTAAGTTTTTAGAATTGAAACCAAATTTGGAAGAACCGTATTGTGGTTTTGGTGACATTCGAAAAGTTGTGGAAGGAGAATCGACTTGTGAGTTGGAAAATCGTAAAACAGTTCAGAATAATGAAGTGTTATTCGGTTTGAACCTCAAAAATAATCTTCATAAACCTTATACAAGCTACCTAGACCAATCCAAAACAAATGATGTAATTTTTGATAACATAAAACTGTTACAAAATACCAAAAATTCGTATGGACTTAACTTGAATTTAAAATCAGATACAATCAACGAACCAATATTCGATGCTGATGACAGAAATTTGCAACAAAGTTTAAATCCAAACCGGTCCACCAATTTATCAGAATCCGATCTTCCAAGACCGAATTCGGTTCTACAAGAACCGAGTTACGACTTCAACCTGAACCGAAAATCGTCGTCGGTTCTAAGCGAACCGAAAACCGATATAAACATTTGTGATCAATTAAATTTAACCATAGAACAACAACAAGAATTGACGTCCATCAAGTTGCAGAATATAGATTCTCAGCAGCAATCTGAGGAGGAAGACGAGGAGAACAATTTAAAGGAACAAGACGGAAATTTTGCAAAACAATTCAATATTTTCCCCGCAATCTTCTCTAGACAACTAAATTTCTCTCAGCAACAAAACAATTACAACTTAAACACGTCGGCTGCGGGAATTCCAACGCCTCCTCAAAGCCAACATAACTTAAACTTCAACTTGAACCAGTATTCCACAAATTTCAATTATCACAACATGAATAACTACTATCAGGAGAAAATGGATGAGCTGAACACGACGAGGAATCTCAGTTTGTTAGGATCAATGTCAGGTTTATTGGACGAGCACCTGCACACGAATTTTCATGGAAATTTGCAAAATTTGCACACGAATTTCCATGGAAATTTACAAAACTTACATTCGAATTTACATCATCATCACCACCACCATCATCAGACGGAAATGAAGTTTATGCCAGTATTGCAGGACACGAGGTAAGGAAATTGGAATTATATCCAGTGGAATGGAATTTCTTGAATCCGTGAAGTTGATTTTTTCCAATCATTGATATCTGTCACCAATAACTAAAAATATTTTGAGATATTAATAATACTTCACATAACACTATTAACTGACTAAAACACTCAAATTTATTTGGTCACTACATTTATTTATATAAAAATGTGCTATTATTATTATTTTAAAATCATTTTATTTTACTTTTATCAAAACATCTTTCAAGTTGGTTTTATTGTTAAATTTTTAATATCAAACTCGTAATATATATTGTAAATAATATTTATTTATTGAAGTCAGTTTTCTTATTTTAAGTTTAACAAGTTACAAATTTATATCATTACAAATTTAATTCTTGGTTGACATCATTAAATTTCGTAATTTCTTTAATTTTGTTTTGAAAATTTTTGGAAGTTTTTTTTTTAATTATTTATTTAGTCACTAATAACTATTATTGTTTTTGTCATGTCAATTGTTTCAATTTTGAATCCAGCATTGTTCGATGCATTAAACTAGTGGGGTGTATGGCATCGTGCCTTAAGGCAAATTGCTGGAACTTCCCGAACCGTAACGCAATGTTCGAGGAATACTGAATGTTTTCAAATAGATATTACTGAATGTTTACAAATTAATATTGTAACATTGTCTAATATTTACAAGAATCATATAAACTGAATAGCAAAGTTGAAATTATTTTTTTAAAGTACATTAGAACTATAGTCAGAATTAAAAATAAAATCTGAATTATTTTTGATATACAATTTTTTTTTTGAAAAAAAAAAGTTGAAACAAAATGTTTTTTTCCAAAATCAATTATTCTGTTAAGACAAGCAGAAAGTTCTTTGAATTATTTAAATCGGGCGCTTAGTCCTCTCAAAAACTGCCATTTTTTACACATTTAGCTCCGGATCTTCGAAATGGTTGGGCCTACCTTAGCCAAAAACTAATAAACACTTCTCCCAATCATTACTAATTGAATGTTTTTAGATCATTCAAATCGGATGCTCCGTTCTCTCAAAAACTCGATTTCTATTTTCTGCACTCTTTGCTCTTTATCTCCGTAACTGCTAGACCTGCCTTTGCCAAAAACTAATCAGCTCATCTCCCTATCAAGAGGAATCGAATATTTGTTGAACCATTCAAATCGGTTGAACCGTGCGCCCCAAAACGTGGTCAAAAATTGTATCCATACACACACACACACATCCATTTTTTCTGAGGTATGCCAAAATATTCAGAAACCTTCAAAACGTCGAAAAATGTAAAAAATTTCAATTTCGATTTTCGGCTCATTACAATAACTTACCCTACGGGAAGTTAATGAAATATTATGGGATATAATTTGTATTTGTTGAGACATGTGACAAATCATTAATAAATTTTAATATTTGTATATATTAGTTAATAGATTTAATCAATCAAATACTTATAATCACAATACTAAAATAAAATGTTCTTTAAAATGAATCGTTGTATAAAATGAATCATATTTAAACCATTAATTTAGTTTTTCTGAACAAAATTATATGACATAAAATGATAAAAATTATTTTTAGCGTTTGTTAATTTGAGAACAGTTTGACATTAGTTCAGGTTATAAACCAATAAAACAAATAAACATTTAAATATTCAAGAATTTCATATAATACCTAAAAATTGTACTATTAAAAACACAATCAAAAAATTATTAACGTAATCTTAAATAAAAGTTGACTCTTACTACTATGCAAAACTATGAATATTTTGAAATATACAAATCATGGTTTGATGCTAGATTCCAATTAGATTTGGATTAATGCGAAAAATTCATAATATATCATATATAAGTAACTATTATTCAAAATGAAGCAATAAATTAAATTAATTTAAAATTGTGAGCTGCAAAAGTAATACCTGTGAATTTAGTGATATTATTTTATTTATTTTGATTGGGCTTTTATTATCTTTATAAATTAGTAGTGATTATAAATAAACATCAGATCATTTGACCTAATCCTATATTCTATATTAGATTTAAATATTATATAATTTTACAAATCATATTGTAATACTGTTGAAATATCTCTTAGTGGAAAGATATACTTCTTGATAAATCAATTTATCTTCAAACATCTTACTTTAAATTTCAAAAACTTTTTTTTTTTTCATTTCAATCGATAAATATTTATAATACCACATATAAGAGTATTTGAATATTAAATATCAAGTTTACAATCCATAATTAAATCAGTTAGTTTCATAAAATAAAATATCTAAGAAATGAAATGATAGAAATATATCTAGGCCAATAGCATATTATGATAATCTATTTTGATTTATCTTACTTTGAGTTTTTCTAAATAATAGAATTATATTCATGTACCTAGCATTCTAATATACAGAAAAGCAAAAAAAATTTCAAAAACTTCTATTAATTAATAATTTTTCAGGCAAGAATCAAGTGCAACCACACCCCTGTCCAACAAATCATCACCTGTAAACCATTCGACAACACCAAACATAAATGCAACAAATTCGACCAACGCCACAAGTTCCAGCAACAATTCGTCCACTGCCGGAGGCACCAACAACAACAATTCAACATCAGCCTCGAACACGAACAACAGTTCCTCGGTGCAGGTCCAGGACGGAGCTGATAACCAGACAAGTAGTACCACAAATAATGGAGACACCAAGGCGTCCAGCCAAGACTTCGGAGTTGGTGGCATGTATGGACAACACAGTGATGGTAAGTGATAGTTTAATAAGTTTCAAAAAATCAAGACTGACTTTAGTCTTCATTAAAATACAATGTCTGTATTTTATTAACATAAACGTAGGCTTCAACATTAACTAGATTATAGTAAGAAATAATCGATCGTTGTCATTCAAGAATTCTAAACAGTCTCGCCTATATACTATAATCGTGAAAATCTTCTATGTAAATTCAATTTAATCTTAAAGAAGTTAAGCCGATGGCATTATTCAGAAACTCGACACGTGAGGAATTGATACACAAGTTGATCAGGTAATAAATATCAAACATTTGCAAGCAATTAATATCAAAATTAAGAAGTCTTCAGATTACTTTCGGATAAGATTGCTGTGCTATCATACCAATAGTTTAAAGTAAGACTAGAGTCCATAGAAGCAATTTTTAAATAAAGCCATCTCTTCCATCTAATATATCACCTACATATTCTGCGATTATCTCCAAGAAGGGTGCAACAGTTAACTATTTAAATATATGAAATTAATTACCCTACGGGAAGTTTAAAATACAATTTATTTATAACTAGATGACTCGACAGACGTTGTCCTGTACCCATGTCTACAATTTTTTAATATAATATACTAATATTTGCCGTTTACCTAAAATAATAATTATTGTTTATTAAATTACTATTTACGCCAAAATGCATATACATTTTACAATATGAGCGATGTTAAATGTAGAACTGCTTTAAATAAAATGATGAGTCTCGATTCCTACACTAATATTGGAAATTGAATTCTTTTAAACGGTATAACATAACCATAACCATAACATAACACTGGTACATCATGTTGGATTACCAGTTTATAAAGCCAATAAAATAATAAAAAAAAAAAATCATGTTGGATTAAATTAATTTAATTTCATATTATTGAAGATATCTAAAATTGTATCTTAAACTTCTTCTAATCGATATCGTGAGGGCCGAATTGTATGTATTTATCTTTACTTTCCCATTTGTTGTAATAAAGTGAAATTTTTACGAATTTGAAAAATATTGTAGAAAGATTAGTAAAAGATGCAAAGAAATTATATATTGAAAAAAACTGTATTGAAAATTAATTATCCGAATTTTGTGCTGGCGCCCCCTATGGCGTGCGCTCGTATTTTCCGCAAGCATCGCATTAAAGGTAGGACTGGCCCTGATTAATACTTAATTTCATATTTTAAGTGAATTAATTTGTCATATTCTGTTCATATGTGTATCATTCAATCTGTCATACATATACTGTATCTTATATAATTTTAATTTCTGGCACATCTTAGCTGCTTTTTGGCAATAATAATGTAGACATTTCATTTTTCTTATTCATAGTCATAAATTTATTATACATATTCTAACATTGTCTAGGTTCATAAGTAAATTGGAATTTTTGGCAGATGATAGTTTTCATTTGTTTTCAATGCAAACAATGACATGACGTTTTTTACATCTTTTCCATTTATTTCTACAATATTACACATACATCCCAGTACTTTATAATCACATACATCCTAGAAAATTTTCTTAACAAACTTCAGAAATATTTATCAAAATCTATAAATAAACGTGATAATTTTCCTTAAATAGTAGGCAAGTCATTGCAAAATTTAAGTTAAAAATTTCATTCATATACAATCAGTTTGAAGACCCTTTTCAAGGGATCTTTGAGCTTCTAAAATTCATGATTTATTTATTATATATACCTTTAAAAATTTATAACTGTTTTTCAATAATAAACAACAACAAAGTGAATTCTTATGAAACTCTAAAACGCACAATTTAATGTTTTTTAATAATATTGTTTTCTCCAAATATATTATTTTTTATAAGCCTTTGGTATTACGACCTCTTAACCCTTTTAGGTAGTTAATATTAATTGCAAGACCTTTTTCTAATATGGGTATAAATAGGGTCAAACGATGTTTATCATGCTTAATAAGTATTCAAATAAAATATTAGCATAGAGTTGTGCTTTAAACCATTTTGTTGATTAGAAATTTTATCACAATGTTTGTCAACTTACCTAATTTCTGAGGCAAATCTAATAATATATCATAAATAAATTTAAAAAAAAATGGTTGTTTGTAATATAAACAAGTACGTTTTTGGATATATTTTTATTTCTACCACAGTAGATCACAGTACTACTTTAAGCTGCTTTTATGTTACATGGACCATATACATTATGACCTTAATAATAATATCTTATAATTTTGATTATAATTTAAGTCAAGAAGTTGCCAAATTATAATATAAATAAGGAATTATTTAATCACACATTTCATTCACATAAGACACTCACTATATATGTATAGTGATCACATAAGATCACTATATATGTATTTATTTACGTGTACTGATTATGCTTACATATTATTTATTTATTTTTCATTTATAATCATATATGCAGATTAAGCTCTATACATTTATTAGCTAAATTAAACCTTATATTTTACATTTTATCCAATTGCAAATCTTAACCAGTACTATATCGGGTTTTCCAACTAAAAATATATTACAGACTTTTTACTGTTTCTGTGGTTTATTAGCTCATTTATTTTGAATAATACTATAGTGCTTGTAAAAACACGACGACACTCGTAGAAAAACGAGTGATCGTAGGGCCGTGACAGTCCAGTGGGTCACGGTTAGATCATAGTAGATATAAGACAGTCCACGAATATAGGGTAAAAGAATGAACAAGGCATTTGCATCTGTAAAAAAATACTGTAGGTTATCATATAATAAAAGAAATATTTACATACTTCTTTCTACTTAATAAAATTTTATGTGTATTCACATACACATACGATATCAATTCTGGTGTCAAAAGATTCAGTCTAAAAAGCATAAAATTAGCAAATCAGATTTTCTGAAGTCAATAAAAAAATACTTCTCCTTTTTACCAAGTGTATGTTTGTCAACCTGCCTAATTTGGTGGACAAAAGAAACATTCGGAAATGTGAATACAATCGCACCTTTTCGTATTTATTTTGATTGCAACCACGTGCCAACTCAAAATAAAGCGTGGCTTAACAAAAGTCAAGCCTTTGAACAAATATCGAGGTTGGGCGAATATTTTTATTTACTCTGAAAATCAGAGGCACGCGCCGAGGGTTGTTTTCCGCGCGACCTATCATTAAATACGTATATATGAGATGAGGGCGAGAAACGTATGAAAGCAATTGTAATTAGGCTGGATTCACACATTCGATGAATTGTAGTAGGTACTCAAGTCAGCTTAAAAAGAATAAATTAGATTTGATCAAATATTTATGGAATTTTTTTGATATATCTGAATATATTAATCAAAAATAAATTTGGGAAATGAATTGCTTGGATATCCATTCACAATGCCGTACATATGTCTGAAATTTTTTGTACAAGTCAATATGGTTTAATGGTAAATTGCTGAAACATCACTGATGTTAGTGATTGTTGAAACATCATTGTAAAATAGGTGTAAAATTTGTCATCTTTATAAACAGTTTTTATTTAGTATATAATTGTTTTGAGAATAGCCTAATTTTTTATGGATTTTTGTTAGTTTTCAGCAGTTTGCAGTCAAAGCAAAACCTATAAAATTTAAATAGAGCCTATTTTTTTTATAAAATTTCATTACAGTTACTAACATGATTATAAAATAAAGAAATTTAAACTTTTGCGGACATTCTCAATATCAAAAATGGTTTGTGACTTTATTATAGATATGAGTTCATGATGAATTGGAATTTTATACAAAAATGTTGACCGGCAAAATTTAATTTAGCGAGTATTTTCCAATTGGAAAAGTTAATTCAAATTTACATACTACTTGGCAATTTTGCTCGGTCCATAAATTTATAGATATGTATGTATGTACATCCACAATTAAACTTTTTCAATAATAATAAGGACCATTTTGATAGGAGCAAACATATATAGGGGGTCCTTAATATGGACATTTTCGAGTTTTCTTGCTCCCAAGGGCTAAAATAGTTCCAAATTGATGAAAAACAATCTCTGAAAGTTTTAGCTCTTAATATTAACTTTTAGAAAGTGCGCAATTCAATCAAACTTCGTATGGAAATAGCATGGAAAAAATTTTGAAAATTAAAAAAATGTGGTTTAGATGTAATTTTGCGAACAAATGAATGAATAAAACTTATTCATTTGTCGTTAAGTTATACCTAAAACATTTTTTTTTAATTTTCAATTTTTTTTCCATGCTATTTCCATACGAAGAGCAAGGAAATTCGAAAATGTCCATATTAAGGACCACCTTAATCTGGACCTTAACTAACACTCCTGATATTACCCTGCCAGATTTTAACGTCTAAGAAACTATATTTTAATCTATAGTAGAAAATCACTGAATCTCACTCAGTTTTGCACAAGAAAATGTTATTTATAAATAACTATAGGTAACATATATCTTTCTACTAATAAAATATAAGGACGATACTGAAAAATATCACTTAGAAATGAATATACCAGATGAAATTCAGTGCCGATAAAAAATTTTGCTTTATTAGAATAGCAAATTCGTTTTTCCCTGCATATTGTGATATGCTAGTAACAGTCATCATTGACATTCTGGTAGAAATAAATATCAAAATGTTGAAGTCTCATATTGTTCCATATCACATCTATAACCAAAATTCGTGTAGAATTTTCGAAAAACAGTTCACATATCACATTATTATATAAAAGCAAATTTTTATAGTAACAAATGAATAAAATACTTTTTTTTAGTATATACGAATCTATATTGTGCGTATATTAAATTGTCAACATCAAAAAAACATTTACATTTCAATTTCTCTATATCGTTTTGATACCGCTTCATCTCAACAAGTTTATAAACGTATGCTTTTAAAAGCACCTCCGTGTTCATCTATTTTTTTTACCTTTATTTAAAGTTAAAAAGAATTTTTTATCAACGACATGCGCTTGCAAAAACACATGATCAAAACGTTTTTTACAAAACCGAGTCCGTTGAAAGCTAAAA